GAATTTCTGGCTTTTTTTTTTTTGTCTGTTCTTTTGGGAGATAAGCTTTTTCAGTCTGTCTTTCTTGGGTTTTGCTGGATGGATAGGAGATCACTGGGACCTTCGTTTAGTAGGAGATTTGGTATTTTTGGTAGGAGTGGTTTGTGTTTGAACTGTCATTTTGCTATTTATTTTTTCTTTATTTATTATTTCAGTTTTTCATTGTCCTTCTTTTGCGGTTCAGCCTGCACCATATCCTTGGAATATAGACTTTTTAGGTAACTTTGAAATTTAGGCCACTCATTTGGTCCCAAGTGTATGAGCCTCTTAATGAGGGCTCTGTATTTGTCAGGGTGACTGGCATTATTTGTAGTCTTATTTTTCATTATTTTTGCACAGGAAAGGCCCTTCATATAACCTTCTACCAGTTGCTGTACTTCTGAAAATAAAATGTTTCTTTTATATTTTACCTCAACAATTTCCTTTTCCTTTTTTCAGAAATTGCATGTTCTTGAGTATGATGGATGACTTTCCTGGCATTTAGCATATCTTATTTCATTGTGGCATTCTTCCTCAGAATGGTCTGAATCCCTTTAGCCACTTTTTCCACATGTTGGGCGACTCCTGCAGCTATCCCTATGATGACTAATTTTTAGCATCTAAAGCATCTTAGTTCAGCAGGGATATATTGTTTCACTGGCTCAATATCATACCCTATTTTTATTTAGGTGGGGGATTTCAGGTGTGCCAAAAGTAAGGATATATGTGTCAATTATAATTGTTTCTCCTTTTCTTTCAATTGAGATTTTATAGTAATCACTGACTCCTTGGCTTCCTAAGGCAAATGTAATTTCTTCAGGTGTGGCCAGAGACAACTCTAATGACTCTTCTAGAAGTATTCTTTCTTGCATGAGGGATGGTCTTAATTTTGATATTATGAAAGGTCTTCATCTTTATTATATTTTCTGTATGTTTCCTATTTTCAACCTCAACCAGAAAATTGACATCTCTCCACTTTCTAACTGTTCTATGATTAATCCTAGTAGATAGTACCTTTTCAATCAAAAAAAGGGGAAGGTTTTGCCAGCAGAGTTTCTTCTAGGGATGTGAGCACAAAAAAAAAAAAAAAAATCATGGAAATTCCATTTCTTTTTTTTTTACATAATCAGAGTCTTAAAGACATCTTTTGGGCTTTTTATTTTGATTATTCATAATTTTTGTCTCTTAAGATTCACTGCTTGTGCTCCCCACACACCTTGGAGCCTGAGATTGGGACATGTCAGGGAGGAAACCCAGTTGACTTGACAGGTCAAGGCTACACAAACCAATATACACATATTCAAGAGAGACTCTGCGCACCCATTAAACCATTTCTTGCACTTCCCAATTAAGTATACAAACTGGCATGTTCACAGCCATGTCTAACTTTAGATCTCTTCAAACTGATTGACCCTCAGCCATTGTCTTCTAATGCCTATAAATTGGATAGAGATAGTATTTTAGCCCAGTGTATATTTGGGGTATTGTATTTAATTATAAAGTACTCCATAAATTGATAAAGTTATAGGTGCTAGGGCTTTTTAAGACCAGCTAAATGATTAGATTGGACCTCTCCAACCGGCTGTCTAGTCCAAGTAAGGCCCAAAGTGGTGTGTTGGAAATCAGAACTAACTGACTTCTGAAATCCTCAACCACCAGATATTACAGGTTGCCACCCATGGCAAACAGGTGACCTCATTGACGGGAAGGTGCAGTCAGCATATTTTGAAGCTCCAGCTGACAGGGAGTTATATTTATATATATAAAACAGAGGATGTCTGTGTGTCTGTCTGACACCTTTTCACCATCCATCCAACTGATTTTGACCAAACTTGACACATACATTGTTAGCATAAAAAAAAATCACTAATCCAAATCAATAATTTTTAAAGTTGATCAAAAATCGATAAATTCAACTTCTTTCCTTCAATTTCGTTCAAGCTTGGTATGTAAGTTACTTACATCATGACAAGCTCAGCAATACTCATTTTTATTTCTACACTACTGCATTTAGCGCAAAATTGCGAAAAATGAAAAATCGATTTCAACACAAATTTTAAACTAAAAACTCCCTCAATTTTCAAACAATCTAATACAAACTTTACTCAATTGTAGCCAACAATAAGTTCAGTGTTTAACAGGAATTTAACTTGATAATTGAGTCCACCCATATAGTGAAAACTCACATAAATTGTGAAAAATAGTGATTTTTACTGGTTTCTTTCTTATTTTTCGTTGACTTTCAATCAATTTTCATCAAACTTAATTTCTTTATAAATGTATCCTCTTTGACATCCCTGGTAGCACACTGACAAATTGAATTTCAAAAACTCCAAAATAATTGTGGTCTGAAGTGGGTTTTCATGTTACCTGTTTTACCCCTTCATGTCCTCAGCTAACTTCAATTGAATAAATACAGACAACTTCTGTTATATCAGTAACTGCATTAATTCAAAATGTTTTTTAAGGAAAGTACTTTAAAGTAATTGGCAAAGACTCTGTTACATCTAAACATGATGCTGTGTTTGCTCCATTCTAATTGAAAGCTTTTTCTGATTGATTAGCTGGGTATGGCTGCTAGTATATGATAAAATATAGTTTTAAGGTATGCTATATTATGGGTTAAGTGCTCAATATCAAAGACAGAGTGTATGTAAATATAAAAGTGAATATTAAAGTTAACACCCAGCAGCGACAGTCTGTTTCATACTTGAAATTAATTGTCAGGCCATTGTGCTCAAACATGAAACAGACTGTCACTGCTGGGTGTTGAATTCAGTGTCCACTTTGATATATATATATACACACACTTTTCCTATGGACACGTAAGCATAAGCATATAGGTACAAAAAAAACTTTCAAAATGTACATAAATAAGTTGAATATATATATATAATACAAAGCAAAATACTTTTACTCCCACACATTGATAGCTTTGTGAAGATTCTTTTCTTCTTCTATTCCCTCCACCACCTTTGACCAATTCACATCTCCACTTATCCCGACATGATGCACACATCCATCTGGAAACATTTAATACACTCTGTGCAGAAGAATTTGTAAGAAGAAAAGTGTCATAAAAATGAGAGATTTATAAAATCATGACAATACAAGAAGCAGGAATTAAATAAGATTGTGTAGGGCGGATGGAATTGTGTTTATCACTCAGTAGCTTTTATCTAAACCATGTGTTCCCTCAAGAATTTCCAGAAGATGAACACAGATGAAGGTGCAGAATGGCACAGACTGAGAGACAAAACAGTGTCAATTTCAAAAAGGAAATTCTTAAGTGTTTTCCCTTTGAAGAAGAAAGGTATTTGCTTGTTTCATTTATTTTCCCCTTGCTTTTATCTTTGATAAGAATAATTAAAAAAATGAACATTACTTTGGAGTTATATTTCCTTGGTGATAATAAATTAAATACTTGTGAGAGAAAGACAAAATTTCAGTAGCTTAAACATGCAAAAATACTACTGATTGCAACCTTTATTAATACTACTATCAAAGTTGATTGTAATTTCCAAGATGGCTTTTATCAACAGACTATAGAATAGATATCATTTTTATCATCAGTAACAAGATCTCAATTGATATTAAACCTGATTTCAATGCAACTGCTTCTTTAGATCAATGGTTAAAAATGGCTTTGAATGAATGCTGTAGGTCTTAGTGAGGACCATTCTTCTTTAAACATTGTGGACTGGGACTATAACATCACAAAGAACTTTACCAAATAACAGAAACCACATCACTTAAAGACTTTTAACAATAGCAAAAACTAAAATATCACAATTAACTCAAAGTGAAAATAATAACATTCCATACTACTTCAAACAAAAAGTTAGGAAGGAAACTTCCATCAATACTGGAAATAGAATAATAATTACTGTACTTGAGAAACCTATTTTCCTGAAAAATTGTTTTAAGAGAAAGATTTTATACATTTCAACTGAACATAGCACTGGCTGCTCAATCAAAGAATACTAAATGTTTCTTTATAAGGAAACAGCTAATATTATGATTAAAATTATATTAGTGAAAGCCATGCTCTACTAATTATAGAAACTAAATAGCAAAATTATAGCATCAAAGTTATCATTATTTATTTCAATATGTAGGAATAAGTTGTTTTGGTTACATATTTAAAGACGTGACTAGAATGAATGAAATTTAGGATGGTAGACATAATGGCTTCCAATTGAGATGTTTTTTTATTATTATTTCTTTTTTTCCTACAGGAAATGACAGACATGTTTGTACAGATGGAAATTTTAAGTGGCTTCCTCCTATTCTCATGATAATCAACAATTTCCTTACATGATGAAATATGTACTTATGAGATAACTAAAATTTTACATCAGGGTAGCTGGAAAAGTTGAAAGGTTAAAAAGTTCCACTTTACTAAGTTTTGATTTTGTAATCAATACACGGTGAGTAGTTCAATGATTCAAAAAAATTGATTTTCAACAATTAGTCAACTACTCAGTGAATCTAATTTTGACTGATTGGTTTGTTTTTCACAGCTTATCAACCATTTGTAGATTATTTAGAGCCAGAATATATTTTTGGATTGAAAGAATACTGTGTTTTCTGGTGTAAAAGACATATTTCAGGAAAAAAAAAATCTAAGTTGTAAAAATTTGCTGTGTGAAGGTTAGGAATTTCATAGGCCCATGCTAACCTCAGAGGAAGGTTATTTATGCCAGAGAGTAAATTGAATTCTGTATATTGTTAAAATTTTTGAGATTTATATCAGGAAAAAACTGCACCCTTGATGCTGGCAAATATGGTAATTATTTATTTTTCTTGAGTGAAAAGTATATTAACAATTTTTGGGAAATAATAATGATTTTCAGATAAAAGTTCCACTAATTAACCCATAGCAAGGGGAGAATGAGTGGATTCATACCAATGGTATTTGAGTGTAAGTGAATACAATGAATCTGATTGCAATTTGATTTCTTATATCCATTAAATACAAGCATACAGCACCTGGTATTCCCAAGCAGTCACCTATCTTGCTACTAACCAGGCTCAACATTGCTTAACTTTGGTGATTGAAAGAGAACCAACCTTTCAATATGATATAGCAATAAGCCAAATATAATCTTGAAAAAATTCATAAAATATTACTCCACTTTGGTCAGATGTAAAATGAATTTTATATTCATACTAACCTGTAAATTTTGCTGGATATCAGATCTAAACTACATTTGTATGAATCTTATTCTGTACAATATGTACAATACAATATACAAAAACAGCAATCTACAAGGAAGTGCTGAAAATTTCTCAACCCAATTCCCAAAATCTGGCGAAATGACCCTACATTAGAATTTTGTTTTCAGGACTTTTTGGTTAGGTTGACAACTTTTCCTGCAAAACCTCTGACCAAGAATCTTGATTATTTTTTCAAAGTAACAAAAAAAAAAGTATTTCATTAAATGTGGCATTGAATGACAGTTTTAATGAAACACTTTTATAATTCAAGATAATTTCTTTTGCTTGTACCATAAACAAGACTTTTAAAAGAGGTTGTTTCTTTTTATAATATGAAAAATATATCTAATTTATAAATATCCATCTATGTTTTTGTCTGAATGTATACATAATTCATTTATATTTGTAATCTATTTAGTATCAGTTTTGAGTTAAATCAAAGCTATAACAGGTATATATAATATACAAATAGGGAATAGGATGCACCTTAATGTTATTTAACAGAGCTTAATATCAAAGAGAAAGCCACTACAAAGTCCAATATCAATCAGTATTTTTAAAAACGCCTTTAAAACATTAAATCTAAAAACTTTCAGGCATTACTGTCACTTTCACAATAAATTTGATGAGAAGATGCCTAATAGACTAAAGTATTGATCTGTGAATTTGGTAGCAAATTATGAGTTCAATCCTTAGGTCAGATAATACAGAGTCATACTCAGTGGAAACATGGTGGATAATAAGTAAGCAACACTAAAAAGGACAACATATATTCTAGGCATGAACAGTGGCATGGGAATAATCTACCCTGTCAATTAAATAAAGTGTTCAGCTTGAAATTCCCTGACGCAAAGTCTAAAAGACATAACAATGAAAGGGTTCTGATAACAACAACAAAGATGAAGACACTATTCCAAATGTAAATAATGATAATGCAGCATCCCAGAAATTGAGACAGAAATATATCAGACTTTATACACACACAACCATCAACATCATCATCATCCTGGTTGTTTTTAGAGTCTAAAGATGACTTTGTCTTGCAATTTTTTCAGTAGATATGAATGGTTTTTAAAAAAGAGAACTTTGCACAAAGAATTTCTATTGAGAAAATGATTGCACTCAGTTATTCCAACCCTCTTCACCTGGGAAGACTTTATTTTGTGATATGAGGAACCATTAGAACCAAATGACTTCCAGACAGCAGTAAATGACCAAGACTTCTACATACCATGGAAGTTTTTGACACAGGCATGCATGCATTTTTTGTTTTATCATTTCACCTCAACCAAGACAATAAAGTCACTAAGACACAAAAGGTTACTGAGTGTGATAGAATATGAGAAAAAGGAGAGATTATAATTATTAAGGAGAGAACAATAAAAAAAAAAGGAATTAAGAAGACTGAAGATAATGATTGACATTGCATTTAAATTTTTGAAGATCAAAATTGACTGGAAATCAAGAAAGTGGAACAGAGTTCCACAAATGAGAAGTGCAAGAAAAGAAACTGTTAGCATAGACATTACAGTTATATCTAGCAGCCATTTCAACTGTAAAATGATGAGACATTGCTGTCAATCTTGTACTGTACTTAAATTCATGAAGTTTAGGTACCAGAGAGGAATGCTCATCAGAACATTTACCAAACATAAATACATATAATGTATTTACCATAAATAATTACATCCACCATTTTTTTTTTAAAAAAAAAATTTAAACATACAAAGTATGTATTATATTATTAGATATTATTTATTTGCTAATGTTAAACTGGATATGACCATTGCAGGTTAAATAATTTGAGCATTGACTAATAATCAATATGAGTGATACAGTTGCATTGCAGTTGTTTTCTTTGATGAATAATCAAAATATTTCTCAAATACCAGGTAAAAGATAAGGCAATAATAAAATGAAAAAGGACAGGTATTTTTGGAAAGCATTTAATTAATTAGACAGAAAACACAAGGAGATTCTTTGTACATCATCAAGCAAGTACAAAGATTTAACTATCTGGGAAGTGGTTTAATAGACAATACAAAAACAGGATACAGAAATCAGAAGGGGCACTGGAATAGCAAAAGATACTTTACTAAAGCTAAACAAAGTATTAAGAGAAAAGAAAATTTTGTTATAAACAAAGAAAAGAGTGCTGAACTGTTATGTAATATCAATCCTTCTTTATAGCAATGAATGGTGGGTAATTTTCACACAGATAAAGAGGAGATGTGAGGTAATAGAGATATGGTTCTACAGAAGGATGCTGAGAATACTATAAATGGAACATTTAAGTAACAAGGATGTCTTAAAGAAAATGGGAAGGAAAAGGATACTTGTAATTTAAATGAGAAAGTGAGTGTTGAAATTTCTAGGACACATAATGAGGAAAGAAACCTTGGCGACTATGACATGTTGAAGACAAGAGGGACAGAGGGAAGCAGTGAGTAACCAACTTATCAAGCTTGTGTTAATGGAAAGCAGAACAGGAAATTGTGGAGAGTGATGATCAGTCATTTCCTGAAGGGACTCAGGACATGATAGAAAATGTTTAGAACTTGCCAACTTATAAAAAAGATTTGAACGAAGCTGGAATGAAATAGGTAATTTTTATGGGCACCGACCAACAACATGTTGTGACACACTATAATAGAATATTTTGTCTAAAAGAGGCTATGTTATCACAAAACAAATTGTCTCTTTAAACAAGAAAAATCTCCTCTTGACTTACACCATTCCCACCACAAGCATTTTTCATTCAGCTCTCCAAGTCACCGTGCTCTGAGTGCCATTTCAACCATCTCTTCTCAACATATGCCAACAATTAACAGAGAAGACAGGGAATCTAAATTCTTGAGATATAAAAAAAAAGAAAGAGAGTGAAGTCTATGTTTGGGAGATGATGGTAAGTTTAGGGGAAGGGAAGGAGAGCCTAAGCAAAGAGAAGAGTGGAAGCAAAGCAATAAAGAAAAAAAAATGACCAAAAAAAAAAAGGATGAGTGGGTAGAAGGACTGTCTACTAAGTCTGAAGTAGGAACAGTAGTCAGTGTGACCTAACTGTCAGTCTTACAATCATTTGAAGTCATCTTGTAGTCCCACTACTATTAACACCTGTTCAAATGTCATGCTTCTTTGCACAAGAGATTCTGTTTTACTAAGTCTATCTATCTCATAGCAGTTAGGAAGTCCAACAAACACAAGATACAAGTGTTAAGCAATAGGAAGCCATTTTCTAATTTAGAAGAATAATACTATTATGAGTTTTTTTTTGCGTGGGGAGGGTATTTTTTAGATACATTGGGAGATATTTAATTTGTTTCTCTTCTCTACTTTTGGGAAATTTATCTCTTTAAAGTTTCAACCATGTGTAGCTAAAATAGCAACTTAAATTGTCTTGTTTATTATTTCAAATAATGTAAAATGTAATGAAAACAAAAATGAAGATGCATGATTTGGGTTCTGAAAATTGTGTAGGGGGGTGTTTCTGTCAGATAAAAATGATGACAAAGTAAAAAGGAAGCTGTAAGAATGAAACCAAATGCTGAGATTTGAATCAGTGTCAGTAGAAGTTACATAAAGACTGTACCAATAAAGAGCACTTACGGCGCTACAATTTTTATTGAGATGGTCTAAACAATGCTTAAGTGAATGAACTTAATTAAAATAATTTAATACTTTTTGTTTTTATATGAGCCTCCCATGAATAGTTAAAAATCTAACAAATTATGTATATTAAAGCTTTTCATGATATAAAAAAATGATAATTATTATTTTGGTGCTTGTTTATTTTAATTATCTTAAGGAAGTGATGAATAGACAAGGACAATGATAAATAAATTATAAACAGAATTACAATACAAAGAAAGTCATTTATTATAATCACAGATAATGCTATCAAATAACAGCAAAACTCAGTCCAAACATTTTACTTGATTTCTGTTGATATTTATTTTGCATCATTTATTAGAAAGGAACCTACTATTCACAAAACTTATTTCTGCTACCAACGTATTGATCAGGATTAATTTTGTAACTTTCTTCAAGATTCCCCTTGGATTGATATTCTTAGACTTTCTACTGAAAATTGTGTCACAGAGGTTTCTTATTAGATTAAAGCTAGCATTGATCCTTTTGTCTCTTCTTAGAAACAGCAAGTAAAACCATAATCTTCTCCTTGTCTCACACCAGCTTGTTCTACAGCTATAGCCCACGGGAATGACTTCTTCTGTGTGTTCCAGCATAATAGGCTTGATTAAATCTATATGTGTCTGCTCATAACAATTGTAAACATGTACTCAAAGAAGCTAAGTCTTTGTGGATAGAATGAGACACCTCATAGATTCTTCTAACAAGTTTAGCTCTTGTGACTACTGGTGCCTTTGTAATAGCGTCTTAAATAAAAGTAATTCTTCTATCCCTTCTCTCTTCACTCAGTTTGAAGTGTTAAATTCTATTATAAAGCAGAATTTTGTGCTTATGACTCTTCTGAAGTATCTTTGCTTGACTTTCCACTTAGAACCGAGTCCCTCTTGAGTGATATGCATATAATTCTATCAATGGTTTCTTCAATCATCTCTAAACTAGATTCTCACAAAGCATATGGACTTGATGGTTTACTTGCAATACTTCTTAATAAATGTGCTCCTGAACTAACTCCTGTTCTCTTTAAACTCTACAATAAGTACTTTGCTGTTTCTTGCTTTCCTGCTTGTTAGAAATCCTCTTCTGTCATTCCTATTTTTAAGAACTCAGGTAAACCATTTGATGCTTCTATTGGCTTATTAGACTTCTACCTCTTTTTGTCAAAGTTCTAGAGGTTCTAATAAACTCTGGATTGGTTAAGCATCTCA